CTGCGCCTCGAGCTTCTCAGCGCGGCGCCTCAGGGCGTCGGTCTCGGCCTCCTGCGCGCCCGCCGCGTCCTGGGCTTGCCATGCCCGGGAAGTGTACCGAAGAACGACCACAATTCCCAGCTGCATTTGTCGTATCAACAACCACACGATTCGATACCGACCCTGTTAGCTCGCGCACTTGCCGTTCACATCACTAGCCAAATGAAAGAGATCGCGGCACAGACCCGCAACCCCACTCGGGAGTTCGGTGGAGGCCGATGCTGCACTATATGCAGGGTGGTACCGCCCAGGCCGAACCGGTGACCCCGAAACACTGTCGCAACACAACACCATCTGGGACGTTTTGATGCCCAACATCGAGTGTTGTCCAAAATCGACAGCGGCCGCCGTCGGGCAGGCGACTTTCTGCCTGAAACGGACAACGCCCGCGGTGACGCCGACAGCGAACCCTGTAGAAAATGTGTGGGAGCTGCTGTTGGTTTTTGTACCCAATCTTTCCTACCCGTCTCCATCGTACCGAATCCGCGCCGCATCGCCGATGCATCGGCGATGCAGCGTCGATGCATCGGCAACGTCGGAGTCGAAGACATAGGGTTCCACGCCGATGCTTCGGCAATGCGGCGCGATCCTTCGACCCATCTGCTCGAACCACTTGGCCGTTCTGAACCCTGAACCCAACATTGTTGACATCTCTTGGGGGGGCGACTTCTACTCCCGCAGGCTTCCGCCAACCTCCCGCCGCCTTCTGCCAATGAAACGATATCCACACCCGTCGAAGGCGAGGTCCTTTCACATGTTGTTCTCCATCCGCGGCCCCAGAAGGTCTCGACCCCCTCCCCAGGGGTGGTCTCTTCGGCCCGGATCAACTCCTTGATGGCCCTGGGGCCCGAAGGGAGCCCCCAGGGGCCGACATGCACAATAACCACCGGCTGTAAAACATCCCACCGTCGGGGACCTGGGTTTCTGGAGCGCTTCATCCCCCTTCATGTTTTCATCATCGCGTCGACCAATAAACGCCTCGACCCATTCCGTGGAACCTATTTTTCATCATGAGATTTAAATTCCTGTTGACGGTACAGAGACCCAGTGTACCCCCCACAGGCCGAAAACAGCGAAACGCCGTCAACAAAAGCACCCCTAACCCTTCGGAGGGGCCGTAAGTTAGAGTTGGGAGGGCCAGACACCTGCGGGATAGGGTGTCTTGATGCAAGAAAGAGCGCGCTCTGTGGTCGCTTGGAGGGGGGGGGTTGGAACCGGACCCCCCCCCTCTCCCTCCCCTGCTTCCCCTCTCCTCGGGCCGGCGCTTGCGTCGGCGGCGGCTGGCGGCGGCGGCGGGGACGACGATTTCCTTTCCTGGGCCGGCGCCGGCGTCTGCGGCGGCGGGCGGCGGCGGCGAGGAGCGTCGATGAGGACGACGGTGGTGGTGGTGGTGGTGGTGGGTTGTGGTGGTGGTGGTGGCGGTGGTGTTGGTTGTGGTGGTGGTGGTGTGGTGGTTTGTTGTGGTGGTGGTGGTAGTGGTGGTGGGTTTTTGTGGTGGTGGTTTGGTGGTGTGGTGGTGGTTTGTGGTGGTGGTGGTGGTGTGGTGGTGGTGGTGGTTTGTGGTGGTGGTGGTGGTGGTGGTGGTGGTGGTTTGGTGGTGGGTGGTGGTGGTTTGTGGTGGTGGTGGTGGGGGTGGTGGTGGCGGTGGTGGTGGTGGGTTGTGGTGGTGGCGGTGTGTTTGTGGAGGTGATGCTGGTGGTAGTGGTGGGTGGTGGTGGTGGTGGTGCTGGTGGTGGTGTGGTGGTTTGTGGTGGTTTGTGGTGGTGGTGGTGGGTTGCGCTGCTGGTAGTGGTGGTTGTGGCAGTGGTGGTGGTGGTGTGGTAGATTGTGCTGGTGGTGGTGGTGGTAGGGGTGGTGTGTTTTTGTGGTGGTTGTGGTGGTGATGGTGAGTTGTGCTGGTGTTTGTGGTGGTTGCGGTGGTGGTGTGGTGGTGGTTTGTGGTGGTGGTTTGTGGTGGTGTTGGTGGTGGTGGTGGGTTGTGGTGGTGGGGGTGGTTCGTGGAGGTGGTGGGGGTGGTGGTGGTGGTGGTGGTGGTGGCGGTGGTGGTGGTGGTGGTGTGGTGGTTTGTGGTGGTGGCGGTGGGTCGTGCTGCTGGTAGTGGTGTTGGTTGTGTCGGTAGTGGTGGTGGTGGTGGTGGTGTGGTAGAGTGTGGTTGTGGTGGTAGCGGTGGTGGGTTTTTATGGTGGTGGTGGTGGTTGTGATGGTGAGTTGTGGTGCTGGTGGTGGTTGTGGTGGTGGTGGTGGTGGCGGTGGTGGTGGTGATTGGGTGGTTGGGTGGTGGTGGTCGTGGTGGTGGTGGTAGTGGTGGTAATCGTCGCTGCGTCCCCGCCGTCGCCGGCGCCAACGCCGGCGCTGCTGGCCGCCGCCGGCGCAGGCGCCAGGAGGAGGGGGGGGGGTTCAACCCCCCTTCCCCCCGCGCGCTAGGGGAGGAGGGCTTCAACCCTCCACCCCACCCTCCCTTGTGCTGCCTCTGGTCACCGTCGCTGCGTCCCCGCCGTCGGCGCTGCTGCTGGCGGCCGCCAGCGCTGGCGAGGGCGGGGGGGGGGTGTTGAACCCCCCCCCCCCTGGGACGGGGGGGGGTTCGGGAGGGGAGGGGGTTTGGGGGGGAGGGTCCCCCCGGTTTTGATCGACGGCGCCGCGTGTTGGGGGGGGGCCCAACTCCCGGTTCGAAACGCGCCGCCGAATGTTCCCAAGGCGAGCGCCCGTGAAACGCGTTCTCTCTGATGCAAACGTATCAGACGAAACCACCATGACCCATATGATTCGGGATATCTTTTTTTAAACCATGGACCTAGACTTGGCCAAGACTTCATTGTGATATTAGGGATGTTTATACTCACGAAACAAGACAGCCCCCACCATGTGTTGCCACGCCTCAGTCGGCACAGCGAAAGGACACTCACTGCCACTACAAAGTGTCCCCCCAACGACAACGCTAAGCAAGCCTGATGCCCGCGGCTTCTCCCGAAGCGTGCCGTCAAGGATGTGAGCATCAGAAGGGAGGGACGAAACGGCGAAGGCTGCCAGAATCGACCGCCGCGCGCCCCACCTGCATGACTTGTAGGGTTAGGGGTTCTATTCTGCTTGCCCAGACCCCCGACGTCAAGATGTTTCACAATGTCGGCCCGCAGAGGTCTCGACCCATTCCGGGGAACCGGTTTTTTCATCCTGAGCTGTTCGTTGACAGCCCCGAAGCCCGGCGAGGGCCCCAGGGGCCGAAAATTGCGAAAAACCTGCCGTCGTGATTTTTCCAAGATCCGTGGAAGTCTGAGTAATGCTCCCTGTAATTCGGCGTTGCTAAAAACATGCAGCACCGCAGGCTAATCACCACCAGAGCCCCAGCCCAGACCCCCTTCTTTCTGCATCATTTTTCGAGCCGGGTCGATCCGTGAGGGCCCTGGGGCCCTTCACCCGGGCGAGAGCGCCCGTGGTAAAAAAAATGCAGTCTCCAGGATCTCAGGTCCGAATTCTGCTTGCTGGCTGGAGTCCCTGGGCCTCCGTGGCCGCGCCGCCCGCGGGCCCGGCCGCGCCCGGCGGGGGCGCCCCGAGGAGGGCCTCAGCTTCGAGCTGCGCCTTCCGCTCGCGCAGCGCCTGGACCTGGGCCTTCAGCTCCTCCCGGCTGGCGGCGCGGGGGTCCTGCTCTGGGCCCGGAGCCCCGTCCTCGCAGGCTCGGGCGGGGCCAGAAGTGCCCTGAGGAGGAGGAGGAGGAGGAGGAGGAGGAGGAGGAGGAGGAGGAGGCGGAGACCGAGGCCGAAGAGGAGGGGGAGAGGAGAAGAAGGAGGAGGAGGAGGAGGAGGAGGAGGAGGAGGAGGAGGGTGTCGCTAGAAGTGCCCCGGGCCCAAGCTTGCCATCGCTCGGGCGTCCCTTCCCCGTGCCTTGTTCGGTTTCGCTTTCTTCTTTCGCGCAGGATTGTCCAGGAGGATTGCCCGCCGAGAAGACATGCACACGTCCGAGCGATGCCACGGGCGTTTTCGGCCAGTTTCGGGCCCCAGGACCCTCACAGGTCGATCCGGCGCAAAAAACGGCGCAGAAGGAACGGGTCTGGGACTCCAGTGATGGTTCTCTGCGATGTTGCCTTTTGAAACGTCGGATCTCAGGGGAAGTGCCCTGGCCCGAGGTGCCACCAGGATTTCCGAGGAGGCCCCCACGGCCTCCAGAGCTCCCCATCACGAGGCCCAGAGGGCCCCGGGGGCTCCAAACCTGAGCGGAAAGCTGGGTGCATATTGGGCCAGGGACACATTTAGTAATCCCCGATGAACATGGGCCTCACAAAGCCATTAGCCTCAGAAGACAATGAAGAAGGATAGGGAAGGAAGAGGAGGGGAAAGAGGAGGAGGAGGAAGAGGATAAGGACCCTCAGAGTCAGTGCGTTGAAATTGTTGCGTAAGTGGCATTTTCGGTAAAGTCGGGGCCCCGGGACCCTCATAGATCGATTTGGCTGGCCAAAATGAAGCAGAAAGGTCAGTTCTAGGACCAGGGTTCTGGTCGTTTTTTGCGGTGGCAGGGCATTCTCTGCAAAGGCGGATCTAAAGGGAGTAGGAGCAGGAGGAGGAGGAGGAGGAGGAGGAGGACAAGGAGGAGGAGGAGGAAGAGGAGGAGGAGGAGGCGGAAGAGGAGGAGGAGAGGAGGAGCAGGAGAAGGAGCAGGAGTAGCAGGAGGAGCTAGGAGGAGGAGGAGGAGGAGGAGGAGGGAGGAGGAGGAGGAGGAGGAGGAGGAGGAGGAGGAGAGGGAGGAGGGGGAGGGGGAAGAGGAGGAGGAGGAGGAGGAGGAGGAGGAGGAGGAGGATGAGAAGGAGGAGGAGAAACTCCTGGAAGGTTATCGTCAGGACGGTGAAAATCAGAGTGAGGGGGCCGAACGGTCATTCATTGTCCCTGGGTGCGTGGTTTAAGTGCGGATCCGTGGTGAGGATTATGCTTATTGCGTTGTTGTTGTTATTGTTGGTGTTGCTGATGTCGCTGTTGTTGATGATGCTGTTGTTGTTAATGTTGTTAAATGTCGTCGTCCCCCCCGCGACCCGGCCCGCGACCCACCCGCGACCCACCCCGCGACCCATCAGCGACCCACCCCGCGACCCGCTCGCGACCCACCCGCGACCATCCCGCGACCCACCCGCGACCTGGCCCGCGACCCACGCGCGACCTGGCCCGCGACCCACCCGCGACCCACCTGCCACCCAACCCGCGACCCACCTACATTGTTTTAACAAAAGTCGGCGCCAGCAGCGGGCTCGTTGTATAGCTTGCAAATTTTGCGCCTGCGGCGGGCTTCTTCAGAGCCTCGCGGACTCCCTCACTCTTATCCGCAACTGCGGGGTGCTACGTAAGGGGCCACTGAGCACGAATGGGCTGGACCAAGCCTGGGGTGAGGGCCGGATCCAGTGGGACTGAGCCGGGCGGGATGGAGCCCGATGAAGCAGGGAGGGCTAAGCGTTACAAGTGAGATGAGGCCGGTTTTCAACGAGTGGTGTACCAGCGCCGACTCTGAATTCAACTTCCCAGAAGTTGCATCCCAAGAAGCTCAGACTTCCAACGCATGAGCAAAAATCTAGGCGGCGGTCGTTGCCCGACGTCGGCCTTCAGAAACCCTCGCGGGCCCCCGGGGCCGTAACAGCGAGTCTCTGGGAGGGGGTCGGCACTTCGGGGAAACCCTGCGTTGAAATCCGCCGACCCTTCGGCGTGTGTGAGACGCTGTCGTCGTCGTCGTCGTCGCCGTCGTTGTCGCCAGTCAGAAGGGACTTGAGGAACGAGGACAAGAAACGTCGTAGTTAAGTCGACTCCCTTCCTGTTTTGCCTTCCCTGACGGGGAGGGGTGTGGGTGGGGTGGGGGGTACGGGGAGGGCGGTACGGGGAGGGGGTTACGGCTCAGATTACCGCACCCCCACCCAGGGTCCAGTCGACAGGCGGGTACAAGGGGTGGCCCCCCTGCAGACAGGGGGAATTCAATGCTCTTCTCCCCCCCGCCCCCCCCCCGCCGCCCCGTGCACTTTGTGGACAAGGGGGACGGGGAAGGGGGTGGTCCCCCATGTGGGCGGGGGGTCCTGGTCGGGGGTCTCGGGTCAGATTACCGCTCCCCCCGTGGACAAGGGAGGACAAGGAGTGGTGGTCCCCCTGTGGACACGGGGGAACAGAGGGGTGCCCCCCCTGTGGACACGTGGAACTCGAGGCCCCTCCCTTCCCTCCCCCCTCCCCCGATCCCCCTGTCCACAAGCGGGACACTGGGGGACAAGGGGGTGGTCCCCCTGCGAACAAGGAGAACTCAAAACCCCCCCCCCCCCTCCCCCCTGTGGACGAGGGGACCACCGCCCCCCAGAGGGGGTGGTCGCCAGCGGGGGTTTCGGGGGAGGTCCCGCCTGATCAGGGTCGTCGACGCTGGCCGTAAGGCCTTTACAACAAGCAAGACACCAGATCTCTGGGAACATAGCATGACGTTTCTCGGGGGCGTTCAAAAGAGGGGGGGGGGGGGGGGGGGGCAAATCATGGCCCGAGGCACGGGCCCGAACAATGGGGGAGCCAGGGGCCGCCTTGAAAGCTCGGCGACACGCAGGACTGACCCGAGGCAGGAGTGGCCTTGGTGCGCGGATCTAGGGGGCCACAAAGGGGCCCAACTCCCATGGCGTCCGCACCAAAAAGGTCACTCTGGCGAGGAGTCCCTCTTACGCGCAGCCGAGCAGAAAAAAGCTTGGGTCATGGAATCCAGGGGGATTCCATGACCCCGGCCATGTCCGGTGGCAACTCATGGGAGCCTCCCGTACCATCTTGTCCGTTCCTGCAATTCGACGCTGATCGACGCTAAATCGACGCTAACCGAGGCGAGATCGGCGCTATCTCATCGACTCCAAATGCTAATCGACGCTAAAGACGGAACTATGAGGGTATACCAGGCCCCCATGATTTGCCACCAGATCCAAGAGGATGTCATGGCCCCGCCCATGATTAGAAGAAGAAACAACGTAATACAAATACGTAAACTGTTGGCGCTCCGCGCGGATTTCTTGGATCTGCGCCGCACCCCCCTCCCTGGCGCGCAGAGAGCGCGCCAGGGGCGGCGCCAGAGGCGCCGCCGGGGAGGCCCAGCGCGGATCCAAGAAGAGAGGGGCCCAGGGGTACACAAAGAAATAGTCACAAATCTTCCCCTCTGGAAAGAAGCCCGCCCGGATCCACAGGTTTGTGAGTTGCCAAGCTTTTATACGCTCTTCTGGTCCTGGTGGTCGGGTGGGTGGTGGTCCCTCGCCCGGCCCTTCTGGGGAGACCAAGAGGTACCGATACCGCTACTGCCTGGACCTGTCCCGGGGTGCGAATTCTGACCAGAATTCCCAGAGATCCAACGCATTGACAAAAATCAAGACGGAGGTTTTTCGAAACGTTTGGCCCTCGCCGGGCCTCGGGACCGATAAAAAATGACTGAGAATGAAAAGCTGGTCCTGGGGAATGGCTCGAGACTTCTGGGGGCCCCGTAATGAAAAAATCACGACGTCGGATCTCAGGATTTCGAGGCGAGTCCAGTGGCGGCGACGAGGGCCTCCCAGGAGGACCCAGCAAGTGGACAACGGGCGAAGGGTGGCGGTCTGGGTACCTTTTGCTCCTCCGGCCTTCAGCTTTCCCCTGAGCTGCACCACCTTCTTCTCCAGGTAGGCCACCTGCGCTTCGGGAGCCCCCCCCCTCCGCCGGTCTAGGCCAATCCGCGGTCCGCTGCTTTATTGTTCTTGCTCGCAGGGCTCCGACTCCGCTGCCCCTCGGGGGGCCGTGCCAAGCGCGCGATGAAGACCAAACTACACAGAGTCTTTTTTAAGATTCGGGCAAATTGACTTGCATGGCGGTCGCCCCCCCCCCTTTCTCGCCCCTCTTCAAACGAATATGCTGGCGTGCAAGTGCATTTCGACTTACGTGGTTTCCGCAAGTCGCTTGCGGCTCACTTCAGGTTCGAGCCCCCCCCATCCATGCAAGTAAACTTGCTGGAGTCCAAAAACAAACAGGCTCACACCTGCACAGACCTTGGGAAAATGAATCGCGTCGCGCGATCCATGGCCCGATCCCGATCCCAGCCCCCAGCCAGCCCGATACACCTCGAGGCGCAGCTGCTGGAGGACCCGGCCGATCGCCCCGATCCCCAATGGTCGACCCAAACATACGATCGGCACGATCGACATGGGTAACTACGGAAAGAATGGGGACAGAGACTGGCAACAGATGCTGTCCTTTTTGAGCAAGGGCACGCTGTGGGTGTCGCCGCGGGCCATGTCCGTGTGAGGCCGCGGACCGCTTGCCCAAACAGCGGCCGCCCTCGGCTCTGGACAGCATTCGGCGGTGGACAAAGCTCCCTTTAGTAAACCTCCTCTTGTGAAAACGGCCTGGGACCGAAACCGACGGACCTGGACACGCAAAAATGACGGCCGCGACGCCCTCTCGCGAACCGAAAACGGCCAATTCACTCATCGACGTGTCAGGGTAGGAGGTCTATCAACCCCCGAAGCAGTCGCTGCTGGACATCGCGCACGCCTCTGCTTCCCGTGACCAGTCCCCGGGCACCCAGCACCGCTGCCCGAGGCCTTTCCCCGAGGGCCGGGGGGCGCGACAGGGGCCCCCCCGGTAGGCCAAACGCGGCCAGAGACCTCCCGTCGTGCCTCCTGCCTCGGCGCGCGCAGGTCCAGGCTTTCTGAAGGGGCCCCTGGGACACACAACTGAATAGACACGAATAACAGGAATCCCCATAGTTTCCCATATCTTCTGTTTTTCGTATTCCCCCCACTCCCCCCCCCCACTTCCCATCTTTTCTGTGTTTTTTGTCTCCCCCACACTTCCCATATTTTCCCATATTTTCCTGGGAGCCGACGATTAATTGTGTCTGTGTGTTTGTTTGTTTCCCCTCCTGACTTTCGGGCCACGGCCCAGCTCTCTGGCGGCCGTCCGGGACGACCAAGGGTACCCCCGGCACGCCCTTTGGCGAGGAGCAGCGGCTGGAAAGCAGCCCGAGGCTGGAGAAATCCGCCGAGCACCGACGAGAACGCAGCAGAGGACCTCGATCGAGCCTCGAGCCTCGCTTCCTCGGGTCTGCAGAGTCGGCATGAGCCTGTTTCTTTTGACTCCGGCAGGTGTACTTGCATGGGCGGGCGGGCGGGGGGGGGGGGGGGCTGAACCTGAAGCAAGCCGCAAACGAAAACGATTGGCACCTGCGGAAACCACGCACAGCGAACGGCACTTGCACGCCAGCAGTCGTCAGCAGAGGGGCGGGGGGGGGGGGGGGCGAACGCCATGCAAGTAGACTCGCCCGAATCTGACAGGAAGCGGGCTCCATCTGAGGACCGCCTGCGCCGCCAGCTGGTGCTCGTCCTGCCCCTCCGGAGCCCTCGGCGCTGCGCCGCCCTCGGCGGCGCCGCCCTTCTGGAGGCCGTCGCGCACGTTGACCAGGTCGCGCAGCGTGCGCAGCAGCCTGACGACCTCCTGCTGCCTCTCGGGGGGGCACCCCCAGACCCCCCAGCGATGTGACGAAATCACGACGGGAGGCTCTTCGCTATTTTGGGGCTCTGGGGGCCCTTCCCGGGCCTCGGGACCGTTCAAAGACGACTCAGCACAAAAACAGGTCCCCGGGAAGGGGTCCAGACTTCTGAGGATCACGTCATGGCGAAAATGCGACGTCGGGGGTCTGGGCCCATTGTGCACACTCCCGGATCCTGGCCAGGCTCCTCCCGGGCCTGGGCCCAGGACCGGTGTGTACGTCCCCCTGGCCTGGGCACGAAGGCACACGCGCACACCTGCACGTCTGACGTCGCAGCGCGGCAGGGGCGGCGTTTCCCCTGGTGGCTGAGGCGCCCTCCCCAAGACGCAGGGCCGCGCGCCAAAGCAAACGGCGCGGCGACATATGCGTTATACGCCCTCCAGGCCTGGGCAGGAGGGCGCATGGCACACACGCACACAAACCACACAAAAACGGTTTTTGTTGTTCGTCGGCGGCGAGGCAGAGGCAATCCGCACGGGGCAACCGATAGGCAAGCTGTCCGGCGTGCAAGAGACAGAGGCGGAGACGAGGGCGGCCGCGCGAAGGGTGGAGGGGGAGGGCTAGGGCACACGGCACACACATACACAAACACACACACACACAGACAACATGCGGTGTACTGACTTTTCCAGCGCGGGGTGCCCAACAGGCCGGACCCCCGCCCCCGGGAACAGCTTCTTGAGCATCCGACTCGTCCTGCGGACGGCTCGTCCTATAGGAGAAGGCCTGGCGGGAGCCCCCAGAGGCCGGACACCACGAGAACCCCTCCCGTGCTGATTTGTTCGCCGCGCGAGCATGGATGGGTATACCCTGAGATCCTGGCGTCTCAATGTTTCCGAGCCGGGCGTTTTCGTCAGGTTTCGGGCCCTGGGACCATCACGGCTCGATGCAGCTGGAAAAATGGCGCAGAAAGGTGGGGTCTAGGGCTCCCGTCGTGATTTTTGCCGATGTTCCAAAACGTTTTCCCGCCGTCGGATCTCGGGGAGCATGTCGATCTGGACACACACACACACCGATCCTGGGCCCAGGACCGGACCTGCGCGGGTGTGTGCGGTTGGTGCCCTCCTGGAGCTCCTTGGATTGACTTGGATTCAGTTGGATTTACGTTGATCTGTCCGGAATTGCCGGGTCAGACCTGCCGTTGCAACAAACAGCAGCATCGCAACAAAAATCATAACCTGAGCCCCGGTCCCCATCTTCCTGCGCCATCTTCAGGACCGTATCGATCTGTGAGGGCGCCCCGACCCGAAACCCAGCGAGAACATGCGAACACACGCCAGGTGTGAAAACAGTGCAGCGCCCGGATCTCAGGGGCTTCATCCCAGCAAGTTGACTGGAGAAAACAGCATGTTGTTCATCGGCGACTCCGAAGGGTGTGGTTTGGAAAGGGTGTGGCTTGCAACCGGCACCCTGGGGGGGCGCCCTGGGGGGCGGGCGAGGACCTCGACAGAGCTCCCCGCAGCGCCCCGAGAGGGCCCGACGAGAAACGCGTCGTGCTCCTAATGCCCTGAATGGTGCCGATCGCAAATCACACTCCAGACCCACCCATCATCATCGTCGTCGTCGCGTCGTCGTCGTCCTCGCCATCGTCGTCGTCGAGGGCCCCTAAGGGCCTCTATAGACGCGTCCAGACGTCTCTGGAAATCTCCTGAGGCCTCTGCAGACCTCCGGAGACCAGACGCGGCCGTCATGATCGTTGTCGTCGTCGTCGTCGTCGTCGTCGTCGCCGAGTTCAGCCCTCGAGCGAAGCCTGCCCGGCCCGGCCTCCGCCTCCAGCCTCGCCAGCGCGCGCGCGTCGAGCACGCTGGCGCCCGGGGAGGCGAGGAGCTCCAGGAAGCGCTCGCCGCCGTGGCCGGCGCCCCGCCTGAGAGGGGCCCATACTCGGAAAATCGCCCCCAGACTATTTTTTTACTATTTTTGAATAGTGGTGGTGTTGGTCGTCGACGTAGTCGACGTCGTCGACTCCGAGGGCCTTTTAGGGCCTCTAAACGCCTCTGGATAGAGGCTCTGGATATCTCTTGAGGCGCCCGGAGACCTCCTGAGACCTTCAGAGGCGGCCGTCGTGATCGTCGTCGTCGTCGACGACTCCGAGGGCCTCGAAGCGCCTGCAGACGCCTCTATAGGGGGCTCTGGGAATCTCTTCTGGCCTCCGGAGACTCTCAGGCGCGGCCGTCGTGATCGCCGTGATCGCCGTCGCTGTCGTCGTCGTCGTCGCCGTCGTCGTCGTCTCCGAGAGAGCCCCTCCGTGGCCCGCCGCCTGGACGACGGCCCGCGTTCGTCGGCCTCTTCGGACTAGCGCTGCTTGGGAAGGCGGCGGGGGGGTGGGGGGGGGAAAGGGGCATGCCGTGCGGTGGCGGCGGGGGCCTCCTAGCACGCCCACGAGGGAGACAACGAGGGAAGGGTAGCGGCATGGGTACCTCTGTCCCCCCTCCGACTGCATAGCCCTACCTTTTGCAATCCTCCTCCTGCTCCTCGTCCTCCTACTGCTCCTCGTCCTCCACCTCCTCCTCCAGCCCTTTTCTTTATGGATAACTCCTCCCTGTCGCGCCCCGAGGCCACTCGGAAGGCGGGCCGGGCGTTACCGCTTATCACATACGCTTCAAAACATGCAAGAATTTGACGGGCTGAGGACAAGTGGTTTTCAACATCATCATGTAGCTCTCGCCAGCGCCGCGCACACTCGTTGCAGATATTCGCAAGAGCTTCACGGACTGAGGTCAGGATGTCTTCAAAATGTGTTTCTCGCCTGAGCGCCGTGCGCATTCGCAAGAGCTTCACGGATTGATGAGGGGGCTCCTGTTCAAAATGTGGCTCTCGCATTAGCGCCGCGTGCATTAAAAGTTTGCAAGCGTTTCCCTGCTTCTCAAGGTTGTCGTAACAGAAACGGTGTTTTGGAACGGTTCCAAATTGTCAGGGCGCAACACTTAGGTTGATTCGCGGTGTTGGATTCCAGGAGTGGCGCTCTGGCG